TTATTCTGAACCGTTTGAGACTAAAATTGGGAACATTAGCTATAATATGCAGTAAATGTGACCGGAATTTGGCATTTTGTCGACATTAAGAAAGACTGTACCGATTTTAAAAATTTAAAAGCCATTTGAGGAAACTTGATAAGGACTTGCATTGTTTAGTTTTTTGAGACGTCCAGCTAATCCGTTTATTAACACTTTAATCGTCAGAAAAATTTTTACTTGGCCATGGTAACTTTATTAGATAATATAGTTAAAAAAGTATTAGAAAAACTTAATATACCAAAGAAATTTATTTTTCGACTTTTTCGCCAAAAAACTGATCCAATTTCGAAAATTTAAAAACTGTTGTAAACATATTAGTTGTGAATAGTGCTGACTAGATTTCGGCAAAATCAGCCGGAGTGGTTCTTTGCTATTAAATGTTAAAATCATTTTTTAGCGGTTTTAATGAGATTTAAAATAACAATAGATTTCTTATGTCTTAATGAACATAAGAAAATATTATAGATCTACGAAAATTTGTTGAATCACAAAAAATCATCAAAATTTTAGATAATGACCCGTGCTTTTAGGGCATACAAGCTTGTGTTTTTGCTCTATAATTAATGTAATTACTCTAAATCACATTAAATTTGAATATTTCAATTTTGGAAAAACTATCTTGCATATTTTAATTAACCAATGAAATAGTTAATTAAATTTAATTAATAATTTAAAAGTACAAAATTCTTTAAATTCAAACTTTTTCTAAGAAAGTTAATTTACATCACAACTTCTATATAGATACACATTTTCTTTTACGTGCGTTTTTTTTTTATATTTTATCGAACGTCCAATATAACTCATAACATTTATATAGCAAATGATATACATTTGCTCGTATACCATTTACAGGTACATTATATATACATTACTATGTTTTTATGGATCTGTCAATCATTTCTATAATATTTTTGCAGTCTATATTTAATAGAACTAGAAATGATTCAGAGCTCAATAAAGAAACTTGACTGTGACTAATCTTCAATCTGGCATTGTATTAAAAATAATAATGTGTAATTATATAATAAGATATTAATTACATATTATAATTATTGACCTGCTGCTAACAATATATATTTATGTAAATATTTACACATATGTATTTAAAAACATTTATTTAAATAACAATAGCAAGATTATATCAATGGGACGTCTTATTCATTTCTTGTTTATACTAATGATATGCTTCAAGTTTATTCGTGTAAACTTAATACACAAGTATAAAATTATTGATGAATTTTCATTAAAAATGTTGATATACATTTTTTGAATCATGATGAAAATTATTAATTCTCAACTTTCCATTTAAAATTGTTAAATAAAAATTAAAATTAATGCATGGAAAATATTAAGAAAAATGTGGAGTGAAGCAAAATAAATTATTTTTAATCTATGTTCAAAAATAATGTATATCAACATTGTTATTTTAATTTAATCAATAACTTTTATGCTTGTCTATAAAATTTTAATAATTTTCTTATTATTGAGTAAGAGTTATAATACAAAAATTTAAAAAAAAAATCTTCATAGTAGAGTGTGTTTTTTGTCTTTTTTAAATGTTAAAACTATCAATAATAATAATAATAATAAATAATAGTCTGCCCAAAGGCAGGTCCATGGTGTGAGAACCACCTCAAATATATGATTCCCGTACCCTTCGTCTATCTTTTCCATTATCCTTCCCCTTTCCTTTTTTTTCATGTATTTTCCTTTCCGAACTTCTGCTTCTATGCATCTTGATCCTGTGCTTCGGCTTTCAGTTCCTTGTGTTTTCTTTTCTGTCGTCGTCAATCGTCTGCATTTTTCTTCTTCCCATTCCTTTCATTCCTTCTACTTCATCCTCGACAACGTCATGCAGGAAGCGGAAAGGATCCGATCCAATTTCCCTTTCTTCTCAGGATTGTGCTTAGTAGAGTCCTCTTTTTTCCCACTCTTCTCAGGACTTCTTCATTTGTTATTTTGTCTGTCCACTTTATCTTCTCTATTCGTCTCCAACGCAACATCTCAAAACTCTCAAGGTAGTTCTTGTCGGCCTTTCTTAGAGTCCATGTCTCCGATCCGTACAGATTTATGCTCTATACGTACTTTATTAGTCTCTTCCACAAGTCAAGCTCATTTTGCTCGTCAGTAGCTGGATAATTTTTAAACCTGAACATCTGGTGTCACATTGTAAAATATTATTTCATATTATATAACGGTCAGGAAAAGGTTTGTTAATCTCGTAAACCGGGACGATCTTGCCCAGGCTCGACGGCTAATATAATTAGGTTATAAAATATGTCAATAAAATGTATTCCGTCGGGCCTGGAATTCAAATATATATTCAGTCTAGCATTAACAGGCAAAGAATAAGGAGGTGTCTTGTAAAATAGTATATAGAATAAAATTAAGTTGAATATAATAGAAGTTTCATTTTCTAAAAACAATCATCGTGGGGATTTTGCATTTCGTCGATTAATACAAATTACAGTCCACTATCGAAGCATCAACAACGACGTCAAGTAATTCGCTCCATTTGGTCAACTTCGAACCAGATTTTTAAAGTTGATTTTAATCAACGTGTTGAGCCACGCATTCAAGCTTTGGACAGACAGTTATCAAGACAAAAGCTTATTAGTACTGACTAGTAAATGTATCTAAATAACTGAGTTTAAATTAAAAGTGATTGTGAAAGTGAAACTGTAAAAGTATTCAAAACTTATCTTACAAATACACCTAATAATATTAAAATTGTTGTGTGCAGTGAATTAAGTATTGACAAAGTTATTGTTGTTGTAAAGACGTGTAATTTAAGGTGAAATTAAGGGACGCTTTTGCTGCATTTGCTCGAATCCATTACTGATTCGAAGCACCGCCGTAATCCAATACTGATACGATAGCGACGCCGGAAGCGACCAGCCTACTATTTTTGAGGCATTCACCAGGAACGTGAAGCACCATCCGAGTAAGGGCCGGCCGTGGTCCCGTGGTAAGAACGTGGGCTAGCAAATCCTAGTCCCGGGTTCGAATCCAACCTCGGTCGGTTCGGTATCAAAGCAGCTTGATACCAAATTTTCACTTGAAATCATAGATTTCAAATATGTTTTCAAGTGAAAATGGCCTTTCGTGGGCATAGCTGTAGCGGCAACATGCCACTTGGAAGTAAAGAGGTACTAAGATTGTATCGCTTTGAAATACAAAAAGGAAGTCGATTTGTATCCCTATACAACAGAAAAATGTAAAGGCTCTGACATCGTGCAACCATGATTGAGTGCATTTTCAACTCAACCCACGGACCTGCCTTTGGAAGAAGTATTAGTAAAGAAAAATGTAATAAACAGTAAAAATATGTAAAGAAAAAGTAAAATATATGTAGTATGTAAGATAAAAAGAAAAAATAATTAGTAATAAAGTTTTTAAAAAAAAAAAAAAGTAACAGCGATCTCTCCAGTACGAGTATTTTGGATCCACTCGAAGATACCGCCACGTTTTCCGTCAAAACTACACTACACCAGATAAGCCATAATTTTATTTCATTATATAAACCTGGACATATTATTGATTGAAATTGGATCTTGCTCTAAGATTTTGGGCCAATTTCGTAAATCCTTAGGTTATTAATTGTTATGAAATATTATATTAGTTATTATAAACATTACTAATTATTGGTTTATATATTTGTTAATTTATTTACACCACAACTTATGTTATTGATGTACTAGACTCCAATTCTAATATTATTAAATTAGAATTGTTAAATAATCAATTAATTATAGATTTAAATTCTGATATAACCGCTGATATTGCATAACGCCTGTTATACGTAAAATTTTGTAACGGTTTGCGCTTCTCTATCAGAAAATTAAATTAAGTTATCTTGAGTTCTAAAAACAATTAAAATGGCAGAACTTAAAAAACTTTTAAGAAGGCAACAAAGCTTCAAATCTTATCTTGAAAGGTTAAATAATGATAATTGGGATCAACATTCTTCAGAAATGATAAAAGGTATTAAAAGCATGTTTGACAATAGATTCGCGGAGTACGAAAAGGTTAGGGCAGCCATCCACGACTCGCTTGACGAGCAGGATAATGTTTTAATAGATAATCTTTACCTAAAGCTAACCATTAAATTCACGCATCACATAGACAATTCAAATAGTACACAAATAATAGTAAAAATTGTGTTAATTCAGCCATAAAATTACCGAATATTTCAATTCCAACTTTTGATGGTAAATATAATAAGTGGATTAGTTTTAGAGACTTATTTACATCCACAATCACAATCCACAATAATATTAATTTAGCGTATGTCGAAAAACTGTACTATTTGAATGTCATGTGTCGGGAGAAGCTGCCGCTATAATTAATAATATAGAGCCCTCACTGACATATTACTCTGAGGCATGGGCTTTGTTATCTGCAAAATTTGAAAACACGTGTATAATTGCCTATTCACATTTACAAAAAATTATGGATCTTCCAACGTGTTTCGAAAGGTACATACGAAATTTTAAAAATCTTTTTTTGAATATTGCACAGCAAAATCTAAATTCTCTCAAGCGCTGGGCATAAAAGTTGAAAATTGGGACCTTTTAATGGCCTTTTTATTATTAAATAAATTAGATACAGATACCAAAATAAAATTTAATACCTTTCGATCACAAAAGGAATTGCCGACTGTATCGGAACTTTTTAGGTTTTTGGAAAATAGTTGTTTGGCGTTGGAGCTTTCTCGTAAGTTAGACATAGGCCCGGACAAAACTCATTTCAAACGAAAAGCTTTGGTTTCGGTTTCAAATATTCAAGCGATAGTTTGCAAGCTCTGTACAAATGCACATCATCTTTCTACATGTAACAAATTTATTGAAAAACCAGTTTCAGAAAGGTTAGTTTTCATTCGCGAAAATAAAATGTGTTTAAAATGTTTAGGTGACGGACATACAATCCGATCATGTAAATCAAAATATAAATGTAAAATGTGTCATAAACCTCATAATTCTTTATTACATTTAGAACAGAGTCTGCAAACTAAAGCAAATAACCCGCAATCTCCCGGGCCGTCTACTGCGGTATTACCTGCATCACAAGTTTTGAATGCTAATTTAAATAACACGTGCGCTTTATTACCGACTATTTGCTTATTTGTCAAACACATTTCGGGGGAAAAAATTCGTGTACGGTGCATTCTAGATACGGGTTCAGAAATAAATATTATTACCCAAAAGTTAGTTAATTCTCTAGGTATAAATACCGCACCAAGTTCCGTACAGCTGACTGGAGTTAATGGCATCAATATAAATGGCGATTCAATTGCACGGGTATCGATTTCAAACGAGTCTTCTAGCTTTTCAAAACAGTTATCGTTCGTCATATTAGATAAAATTACAAACCAAGTACCTTCGAATTACATAAATCCGTCCCAGCTAAATTTACCTGTAGATGTTACTCTCTCGGACCCGCAGTTTTATATACCTGGCGATATCGATATGTTAATCGGGGTCGGTTCATTCTTTGAAATCTTAAGGGGCGAAAGCATATCGTTAGGACATAATTTGCCGGTTTTACAAAATTCAGTGTTTGGGTGGTTTGTTTGCGGATTAGCCTACCCGAACAATAAAAACTTGTCAAAATATAAAAGAACGTTTATTGTAAATAATCTTACATTAAATAAAGCAGTTTCGAGATTTTGGGAGATAGAAGAGATTGATCACGAGGAAATTCCAAACTTAGACGATAGGTTATGCGAAGAGAATTTTGTAAATAACGTAACTAGAAATATAAATGGTCGATACACCGTAGCATTACCATTAAAACCAAATGCTTCAACAGCTATAGGCAAATCATTGCAACAAGCAAAGCGTAGATTTTTACATTTAGAATCTCGCCTAAACAAAAATGAGAATTTGAAACGACAATATTGCGATTTTATTAATGAATATATTAAATTAGGGCATGCTTATGAAGTTCCTAATTTCGAACAAAATATCTCACAAAATTCATTTGCATATTACCTGCCCCACCACGCGGTTTTTAAAAATGGGTGTGACAAAATCCGAGTTGTCTTTGACGCGTCTGCGAAAACATCAACAGGCATTTCTCTGAATGACGTTCTTTATACAGGACAAAAATTACAACAGGATATTTTTACTATCTTACTGCGCTTTAGATCGTATAATTATGTAATGACCGCGGATATTGTAAAAATGTTTCGACAAATTCGCGTCAAGGAAGAACATCAAGATTTGCAACGAATTTTATGGCGTGAAAATGTTCATGATAAAATTAAATGTTTTAATTTATCTACAGTTACTTATGGAACTGCTTGTGCGCCATATTTGGCTATTCGTTGTCTGAACCAACTCGTATTAGATGAGGGAGAGAGCTTTCCTTTAGCTTCACGCGCTGTCCAACACGATTGCTACGTCGATGACATTATTTCGGGTGCAAATTCATTAGAAGAGGCAATAAAGTTAAAGGAGGAACTAATACAACTTTTAATCGTGGCAATTTTCAATTGCATAAATGGGCTGCTAATAACAGTAGCATTATTGATTCCGTTCCCTTACAAAATCGCGAACGAATGCGTCAATTTAACCGATAATAAAAATAATTAAGGCTTTGGGTTTACTGTGGGACCCCAAGAGGGATGTATTTCAAATATCTTCAAATGCTTCAATTTCATCATCACAAATAACAAAGCGCGCCATTTTATCATCTATTTCCAAAATTTTCGATCCTCTCGGTCTTATTTCGCCTTGCGTAGTTGTAGCTAAATTAATAATGCAAGATATATGGCAACTAAAAACCGTTGGGATGAAGTTGTTGATAGCACTATTATGAAACGTTGGTTCAATTTTGAAAATAATATAATACACATGCAAAATATAATCATTCCGCGTCCGTTATTTGACTTAGACAAAATTGATCGGATTGAAATTCATGGTTTTTGCGATGCCTCCCTGAAAGCTTACGGAGCTTGTTTATACATTAAAACTAATTATCATAATAGGGAGCCTACAGTACGCTATTATGTTCAAAATCTAGAGTGTCACCGCTTAAATCGATAACCCTACTCGACTTGAACTCTGCGCTGCACTATTGTTAACAAGATTATACAAAAATACCGTTAAGTCTTTGAATTTCAAAGTAGATAATTATTATTTTTGGAGTGATTCAAGTATTACTTTGTGTTGGATCATCACGCGGCCAGAAAAATTAAAACAGTTTGTAGGAAACAGAGTAGCGGAAATACAAACTCTTAATAATATAATATGGCGACATGTACCGACAACGGACAATCCGGCCGATTTCATTTCGCGCGGTATTTACGGTCATAAGTTAATAAAGATGGACTTGTGGTGGTATGGTCCAGCATGGCTTAAATTTGAAACTGACTCCTGGCCGTCAATTTTTAAAGTAACGGATAATATAAATTTTGAAGTTCCCGAACAAACAGTTCAAATAAAAATAAATACTTGTGCACAGAGGATGGACGACATGTTCCTACGATTTTCTTGTTTAATAAACTCCAACGCGTAATGGCTTATTGTATTAGGTTTATTAAAAACTGCAAGAAGCAGAAGAGTGTTGGACCGCTGACAGTAACCGAATTACAGGAATCATTACCCATATTGTTAAAATCGTTCAAAAACAAATTTTGAAAACATTCTCAAATATTTGAACAGCGGGTCTGCTAGTACAAAAATAGATAAACAGGTTTTAAGTTTAAATCCATTTTTAGATGACAAGGGTCTATTACGCGTTGGGGGTCGAATACAAATGGCAAACATAGAATACGAACAAAAGTTTCCATTGTTACTTCCAGCCGATAATCATTTAACAAATTTAATTTTTTAAAACGAGAACATGTACGTCTATTGCATGCCGGTCCACAGACCGTTCTAGCTAATGTTAGACTGCAGTTTTGGCCAATCAAAGGTAGTAGAATCGCAATAAAACGTATAATCAAAAATTGTGTGCGCTGTTTTCGTTTAATTGTACTAGCTCTCAGCAGATAATGGGAAATCTACCAATTGAACGAGTAACCATAGCTCGCCCCTTTTAAATACCGGAGTAGAC